TTTAATTTATCATCATTCCCACAACTCTCCACGCCCTCCGCTTGCCTTGCGGCCATAGTATTTACATCAGAATACGAAACCACTTCCTCCATATTTATGAGAATTAAACAGGAACCGCATCAACTATGGATGGCATCCAACAACTATGTCTCCGGTGACGGCTTGCTTTATGTCTTAAACGTTTATATATGCATACATAACACACTACCTTGGTTGAGGCAGTAATCCTAGTCAACTAAGCTTTCCCAAAATCGATTCATGAATCATAAAAGGAAATAATATTTTATTAGTTACCTTATCCTAACGATGCGAGCTACTAAACTTTACGTCACTTCCTTTAAATTTCTGGAAGGGCAGTGGCTTCGAAGAAAATGATAGATTGTGTATTGATGATTATGAAGAAGGTCCCATGCACTGAATATGAGCGTGCAAATCGTGAGGATTAAAGTATTCATCACAAAATTATTTCCGATATGGTTCAGGAATTCATTTTATCAAATCTTACTTACCTAAAAAAAATCTTACTTACCTAAAATCTTATTTACCTAAAATTTAATTTAATCATAAGTGACTTTTATTTTGGGCTGCGAGTAAATGCCCGGCAGCCGGGCACGGTCTCAAATAGACTAAATGCCCGGTACTTAGAAATATTCACCAAAATGCCACTGAAAGGTTCCTTCAAACTTCTTAAGAGTATCAGATGTTTGTTAAGAAATGTAAGGCGATTCCAAAATCAATTTGTGTTTTCAGTGGATAAATTCTCCGGCAGTTTGATCAGAAGCGTAGAATGTCAGTGTCTACAACAGAACGATATTGTAGTAGGCACAAGCTCGGAGAATTTGTCCACTAAAAAAACAAATTAATTTTTGGAATCGCTTGACATTTCTTAACAAACATCCGACGCTCTTAAGATGTTTGAAGGAACCTTTTGGTGGAAATTGAGTGGAAATTTTTTATTGCCGGGCATTTAGTCTATTTGAGACCGTGCCCGGCTTCCAGGCATTTTCTCACTGCATTTCTTTTAAGGAAGTGTCGGGGGCCGGCGTGAAACGACCCAAGGTTCTTGTATTAAATTTATCGGGTATCGGATGCCACAGCACTAGCAAAATGACTGCACAGTCTTATTCACAAGGCATCAATCAACAAATATGTGTCAGGCTTCTTAGATAAGATATCCGCATCTAAAGATTGAGTAGCTAAAACTATGCGAGGCGCGCCGCGCAAATATTTAATGAAAGCTGATTACATTGAAAAAGTAGGTCTTCCACTCTGCAATACCCGCAAAAACTTCCGCGGGGCTTCCCCGTTTAAATATGAATGTCTAATTCACCGTGACGTCAACAGAAGTTATACAAAATGGTTTACCACCAAAATAGAACATTGCTACCTCTCGATCGAACAGTGCGAAGTAGCTCCGAGTAATTATATGCTTACAAAGAATATAGAAAATTTTTTTGTTTTGCTAACTTCGCTTTCTACGTTGGTCGAGAAAATCGCAGGGCTAAAAGTTACATTACGACGGGAAATAGAAGAGCAGCTTAAAGTCTAATTTTATTACAGATTCACTCAATTAGATTACAAATAGACAATAAACTAAATTAAATTATCGCTACAATAAAGAAACGTTGTGGAGAAGGAGACAACCAAAAGCGTTGACGCACCATGCTAGGGATGTGCCACTAATTAAGGTATAAGAGAAGTATATATACAAATATAAAAATAAAAGTTCTAATTATCCTTAATAAAACTAAAACGTTCCTTTTAAAGGCTGCAATATTATTT